AGTGAAAATCCAACCAATCTAGTGTATGTTGTGGCCGAACCACATCGTCAGAAGTAAGGGTAGCACACTTCTTATAAAACGTTTCAAAATATTTTGCAAAAACATCAACTTTCTCATGGTCAAATGAGCATACCGATCCGGAAGAGTCTATGATAGTTCCAATTGAAGAGGAGTCTTTCAATCTAGCATTACAGTAACTCCAAAATCTTTTCGTGTTTTTGGATGAAGCAATATGTTCTTCGTGTTTGAGATTGAGTTTCGCTAATTTCTTTTTAAGCAGGCGTGAGAGATAGAGGTAGTGTGGATTACGTAGATGATTCCCACATCTGAATAACCGTTGAACTTTAGCCTCCACCACTTGAAGGTAACGAGGGAGGCGAAATGCTCGATTTGCGACCCCAGCACTCGGAACAAATTGGGAAATGAGAGAGTGGCAGAAACTAGTGGAAAACAAAGTAGCACTCATCAATTGTATCAATAGAGTCAAAAACACGACCCCATTCTATCGAAAGAAGATGGAGGCATATAGCCCTATAGTTACCTTTGGCAAAATCCACCCTCCGTTTTTGAGTGTACTGAATAGAGTTACCTGTCAAAGAGAAAGTTACCATAGAATGATCAGAGGTAGAGAAAGGAGCCTGAACAGAAGGATTGCCTATGAGGGAGGGATTGTTTGTAAGAACCAAGTCCAAAATATTGTGGCCTCGGGTAGGCTGTAACACTTTTTGACTGAAATTATGAGTACGAACAAAGTGATAAAAAAGCGAGCTCTGCCTAGTAAGGAACCTCCTGCTCGTGTTCCGAGACGAGTGAGACCACGAGATGTCAAAGAAATTGAAATCGCCTAGGATAACCAAGGGAAGCTGATTCTCACTAAGCTCTTCAAGATAAAGAAGGAAATCTTCGAAGCTATCATTTGGGCATGAAGGACTACGGTAACAGAGAGCAAGAATACATTCGACATTAATGAGGGAGACTCGTACGGTAACGCACTGGAGGTAGGTAGAGAAATTGAGAGACGAAATGAGAGATGAAGGAATGTTGTCTCGAATGATAGCTGCCACCCCACCCCCGGAAATATCCTCACCTCGATCGCAACGGTACACCAGATAGGGATACCCAGCTGACAGAGTACTGTTGTTTATTTTGTCAGGCTTACACCATGTCTCTGTTACGAAGAGGGCGGATGGGCTCTGAGCGAGAAGGTAGTGAAGATCGGGCAGCTTGTTGTTCACAGAGCGGGCATTAAATAGAAAACATTCACCAGAGGAAAGGATTTTAGATTGATGGATTCGATCTCGTCGGTCCGATTGAGGGGCGTATCCCTATGGGGAGATGTTAGGGACCCTTGAAGTGCCCTCTAGAGATGCGTCCATGGATCCAACCGAATTCCTCGAAAAAACATTTGAAGCTTGCGTAAGCGGCGAGGAGTTGCGACGGGGCAGCCCTTGCATTCTTCAGCTTGTGAATTTTGAGGTCTCATTAACGACATACTGAAGCTTCCCCATCCTCGCGTTGGCCAGACCCGCCTGCTTGCGTAAACTTCTGTCCAATTCCAATTCCTCCACTGTGTAGTCCCTTCGGGCGTATGAATGAACGAAACGCCTTGTGAGACTCTGGCGTCCCGATTTCATGTGCCGAAGCAGCTTGTCCTTCAGAGCAGGCGAGGAAAGCTCGATCTTTATGATGCGATCGCGGCCATAGAGCTTTTTCGGTTTTCCGGCTGGGTGACGATGAGCCGTAATTCTTCCTTTGGAAAATTCCTCGATCAGCTCATCGTCCCCAGAGGAAAAAACCACCTCTCGCAGAGCTTCCTGATCAAATTTCCTCGTCGCTACTTCGTCAGCCTGTTCTTCTATTCCAACCCAGGTTATGCGCCTGAGTTTTATCTTGCAATTTTACTCGCTATCGCCTTCACCTTGACGAGAGTAGAGTAGAGCAGTTTCTGATCCACTGGGCTCGATTTCTGCAGGCCGGTCACGCGCTCCTCTAAGGCATCGAGACGAGATATGATTTCATTCTGACGCCGATCAACCTCTTCGATCCTGTCGGTAAGTTTCGTGATGGACGATGTTAAGGCCTTCTCAATGCGATCGGCGCAGGAGGCAAACTGGTCCAACATCATCGAGGCCCAAACCGGAAGATCCTTGTCATGGTCCCGATCAGACGACTTGCACTGTGACCCACGAGCCATCGAGAATCAATATAGGCGAGAAATCGTCACAGAATACACCGGGAGAAAACTATCCCTAGGAAAGCCGAAGGGTCACAAGCCAGGAAAAGCAAGGGAATACCCAGTGAAGGTAATCGAAAGTAAATAATAACTACTCTACAATAGCGGAACAGCACAACGAATGAAAATGAGAAATATGAAAACTCCCAAGTGGAAGAAGAATGGACAACCCGTTTAGCGGCCGCACCGGACGACGACTGATCGGTCGCTTAAATCGCCGGTCAATACTACATTTTCTCCGACTCTCAGATAGCTTTAAGTTGGCTATCTTCAACACGTCAGAATGATCTGGGGGTACTAGTCGAGAACAGGCTGCGCGAGATACGCTGAATCGTTCGTCAACTTGAAAGCGATGCCATATCCGTTGTTTTTGGATATGTTAACACGTACGACAGCAGATGCTGGAACAAGAGGACTTACCAATGAACAAATCACAGACCATAAGTGGTGGAAGGGCCCATCATTCCTGCGCACTCTTGTGGAACAATGGCTCACTCCTTTCTATTCGCTGACAACGAAAGATACGCTCATAGTTCCGGGTTTGGAAGAGGAAGAAACCGTGATTATAAATACAGCATGTGGAAAAATGAAAAAGTCGATGATCTCTTCAATATGGAACCGATGTAGGTCCTTCTCTACAGCGAAACGAATCACAGCATTTGTTCTCCGCTTCATGAAGAAACTTCTACGAAACCAAGATGAAATGTTCAAGGAAGAAGTATTCGCAAACATTCCTGAATTGAAGAGCATACAGGACTCCTCCGGTCCTCTAGAGGCATGCGAAATACGCGCAGCAAAAACTGCCTTGATTCGCAATCACCAACTAATTTATATGACTAGGAATGTAAGAAATCCATGGAGAACACCTTAAGATTATACGAAGACGAAAACAGAATTTGGCGCTCGAAAGGGCGATTGGGGCACGCAGCATTGAGCGATGAAGCCAAGAATCCTGTTTTTGTAGCACCCAACACAAGTCTCGCAGAAAAAATTATAAACGAAGCGCATGGACTTTACCATAAAGGTATTGAACATACAATAGCTACTATTCGCGAGCATTTCTGGATTCCGAAACTACGTCAGCAAGTTCGAAAAGCTATCAAACGTTGTGTTCAGTGTCGGCGATTCAATGCGTTACCATATAGCTATCCCGAAACACCGGATTTACCCCAACGCCGAGTTATACGATGCCGTCCGTTTCAAAATGCGGGACTAGATTTTTTCGACCTTCCATCGTGCAGTGAAAACGACGAAAAGCTCAGGTTGTACTGATGCATTTTTACATGCGCTGTAACCCGAATAATCCATCTCGAAATTGTACGAAGCATGAACACAAATGAATTTATCAACGCGCTTCGAAGATTCATAGCGCGCAGAGGTCTTCCTGAATCCATTACATGTGACAATGCGCCAACCTTTCTACTCAGCGCTAACCTTTTTGGGGGACCGAAATAATCAAATCAATCAAGAAGTGCTCCGTTCAATAACCTGCTCCGTTCAATAACCAACAAAGAAATTCAATGGAACCACATCACTCCGTATGCACCCTGGCAAGGAGGTTTTTATGAGCGCCTCATCAAGATCAATAAAACAATCTCTTTATAAAGTTTTCCGCGGCACAAGAGGGCGATCATTTGACGATATCCAGACTTTCGTTGCCGAAGTTGAAGCTTGTTTGAATTCGAGGCCCCTCACTTACCAGGCATCAGCACAAGAAGAGGTGAGTTCAATCCGCCCTATCGACCTTGTTCAGAAAGACATCATACTGACCCTCTAAATTCCCGAACTCACAGACAGCAGTGATTCAGACTACCTTCCACCAGAAGAGATGCGTGCGATGCAGTATCGCCAACAAGTGTTGGAAGCGCTGCATACTTCATGCAAGAAACAGAAATATTCTGGAAAGTATGGCAAACGCAGTATCTAACCTCTCTGCGAGAAACACATCGGCGACTTCCTTCAAATCGTAGGCTCAATTGCGATACTCCTACGATTGGAGACGTAGTGTTAGTGAGCGACCCTATCCTTCCAAGGAATGTGTGGAGAATGGCACGGATCACCGATTTAAGGCACGGCGAGGACGGAAACGTTCGTGAAGCACAACTTCTAACAGCAAGAAAAAGGAAAATACGGCGACCAGTGAATCTCTTGATTCCTCGTGAGATACAAGAAAGTAGAAAATTTGGGTAATCTCCTGAAATAGAACACTTCAATACAGCTGCCGAAGTAAAGTCAGAAGAAGGGGAGCCTAGGTACAACTTAAGACCGCGGCAGCAAGTGCGCTACATACAAAATGTCAAAACTTCAGCGAAGCAGCGGACCTCGCAATCTCCAAGATGGTTTCTTTTTCATCTTATGTTGCTTTCCCTTTTCCTATCCGGCGCCAAGGCAACTGGTTAAGGCTACAAAAAAATTACAATACTAATAAATATAACTCCGGGTCAGGGCTACAGATTTGCGCAAAGCCTTTCGGTGATGTTCGATTTTAAGTGAAAATTAACACATCCTCCAAAAGCGCCGGCGCCTTTATAGGAACTATATCAAATAGAGAAAAAATAAGTGCATATCTCTATTGTCGCTTCTTCTTGCAGAATATGGAGCAATTATGACGCGAACTTCGTGCTACAAAAAAGGAACTGGCCAAAGTTCGTCAGGAATTAAGCAACAAAGAAAAGGAACTTAGGGATTTGCGAAACGCCCTCCCGCCTATTCCTGACCCTAGTCATCTCTACAACAACATTGTGAATCGTTGTCATGAGTTCTATTTATGCACCGTAACTACGCGGAACTGGACAATCAACTGAAAGCACTTCGTCAGTCTGGTGAATCTTGGGAAAATTCGTCTCCACAAGTTGTCACTCCTGGAACTGTCGGTGGAAAAATCTCAAGTAGAGATTATGTTCATTCGATATCAGCTGCGTACACTTTTCGCCATCCCTGTCTTGATAATAGCCATGGAAACCATCAAAAGTGATATCTGGAGGGCGTGGATGGAGCGCCCACAATACAACGAGCAAGGTGATCCACTCCTAATGCGGCAAGACGACATCGAAAGAGTGGCGGCGGACCAAATCAACCAGCTTCACCACTATCGCAAATCACTCATTGATTTGCGAACGTCTATCACGGATGAAGGAGGACAGAACACCTTTAACTTTCAACAACACATGAACGCAGCCGTAGCTAATCTACAAACGACATTAGACATAGCATTGCTAGCCATGAAACAAAGTGAAATGCAGAAACCCATCATTGACGTCCACATGGAAGATATGAGAAGCGGTACTTATTCTGAAGGAAGATCTGTTTCGTCGGAGCAAGAACAGCATCATCGTGAGCCCACGCCGGAGGGCATCCGCATGGAAGATCACGAAAGAAACGCCATCCAGGACAATGCCGAATTTCTCGAAGAAGTAGAAGGATTCGAAGAGGCAGACGAAGTTGAAGTCGAGCAGCAGCCACATGATGAGTGGAGAGCGCGTGAGGCGAGAGAATGCGAGCATGAGGCAACAAATTGAACGAGAGATACAACAACTGCAATCAGTCGTGCGCGAATTTCCGACAAATCATCGACGAGCTTCGCAAGCATCCTACCTGCCCACCTAGACGATTCGGTCTCGGAGCCATCATCAATGAAAGTGAACGTCATATGCGCTGCGCCTTCTGTAGAGCTATCGGTCGTCACTATTCTGATTCTTGCGTTGAGATAAGGTCTGTATTAGTTCGCCGTAGAATGATCGAAGACAGAGGAAGGTGTGAAGAATGTCTCGAATATTGCTACGGAGGAACTGACTGTCCCAAATACGACGTGCGATGTTTTCATTGTCGGAAATATGATCACCACACCGCCTTATGTGAGCTCCCTGACAAGAGCGAAGAAATAGCGGAAAAGAGAGCGAAAGCGCGACGTAGCCTGGCTGAAGCGATGGATCGGATTGAGAAGCTGGAGCGCGATCTCAGATTCTTCCAGAATTGATAATGCGCGGCGCCGGGAATATCGCGGAATAACCGCGATATTTTGCTGTTATCTTTTAGCATTACTGTTCATTGTTTGTTTAATAAAATGTTTAGTTTTGATGGAGTATCAAAATGAAGAAAAACTATGGTGCACATGGAAAAACGTGTTGCTCATGCGAAGGATAAGAATGAAGTCGTGATAAAGTAGAGTATCAATGATCTCACGAATGATAGTATATCTTATCCTACCTGAGGAGCCTTCCCCGAAGTGGGGTAAGGTTCAGTTTTTGAACTGTGGTGCAAGGCGCTCAGCGAGCAATAAACGGTGCTATCAACGGTTCTCTGTGCGGTGCTACTATCCAGTTCAAAATGTATTGATAACTTTGGAAAAATAGACCTACAACGGTGGCTATTTTCTGACGATATAACACCCCAGCCACAAGGGTAACCGTATCCAATATTGACGAACGACTTCCACACTTCAACCAGATAGGTAAGAGGCCGGTGATAATTCAAAAAAATTGATGGGTGAGTGCGGCAATACATCGCCAATTTTAAACGTCGTCCATCAAGTTCTACCTCGTTTCATGTGACAAAAGCGATTGGTTCTTCACTGACTTGCAACGTGCTATGGAGAAGGGTTCTTTTCTACAGCCCACGAAGCTTAACTGGTAAGATCGACAAGAGTCAAGCTCTACAAACTTTGCAAGACTTGAACTACGCTAAAGCAGGTTTAAGGCAACTTTCATAAGGTCACCGGATGGCCGAGTTCTTCCGTATCAGGTGGAACTATTGGGAGAGTAATCTCAACATTACGTCGAAATTCACCAAAAACTCCAAGACATGGGTCCAGCATTCCTCATTATAAAGGAACACACACATCCCTGAAAGGTGTCTTGAACGCACATCGCACCGCCAACCCTCACAAGTTGGACCAGCTAGGCTACGGAGTGATGCTGCGAACATCTTACTCAGCAGACCTTCGCTCTATGAGCTGTTACCTTTCGAAGATTCTCCATAGCTTTCTTACAAAGAAATGCCTCAAAATCTAACATGATGCCAGGACGCTCTCCCCTCAGTTCATCAGAGCATTCTGAACAAACGTACCCGGTGAAGTGGCATTTCATAGCCGGGGGTTTGCACTAAAATGCTTCTCATATCAGCTTGAATGATTTGGTTTGGGCCGAGATACGTGCGTGTGGAATTCCGGGTCGAAAAACGACAGAATTTTTTGACAGACCTAATAGTTCGCTTGCTGGAGGTTTCTCTTGGATAAGTGATAAACAAAAACTTACAGTTTACATAACACCAGTTTAGCTCTGCACGCTATTGCGCACATAAAACGGTAGGGTTCCGTGGAACTCAACAGTAGGACGCCATGTCCACCGTTAAAAAGCTAAGCTGTCTACTCCCTGCAACATAGAACATCCTGGCTGACCGTTTCATAGCCTCCCCACTTCTTGAGGAGGTAAAGAGTGCAGAGGTAAAGAGGTGTATGTAGACAAACTTCATACCTTGAATGTCAGCGTTAAACTGGATAGTAGCACCGCACAGAGAACCGTTGATAGCACCGTTTATTGCTCGCTGAGCGCCTTGCACCACAGTTCAAAAACTGAACCTTACCCCACTTCGGGGAAGGCTCCTCAGGTAGGATAAGATGTACTATCATTCGTGAGATCATTGATACTCTACTTAATCGCGACTTTATTCTTATCCTTCGCATGAGCAACACGTTTTTCCATGTGCGCCATAGTTTTTCTTCATTTTGATACTCCATCAAAACTAAACATTTTACTAAACAAACAATGAACAGTAATGCAAAAAGATAACAGTTAAACATAAGTCGCGGTTATTCCGCGATATTCCCGGCGCCGCGCATTATCAATTCTGGAAGAATCTCAGATCGCGTTCCAGCTTTTCAATCCGATCCATCGCTTCAGCCAGGCTACGTCTCGCTTTCGCTCTCCTTTCTGCTATTTTTTCGCTCTTGTCAGGGAGCTCACATAAGGACGGAGTGGTGATCATATTTCCGACAAAACATCGCACGTCGTATTCGGGACAGTCAGTTCCTCCGTAGCAATACTCGAGACATTCTTCACACCTTCCTCTGTCTTCAATCATTCTACGGCGAACAAATATAGAGCTTATCTCCACGCAAGAATCAGAATAGTGACGACCGATAGCTCTACAGAAGGCGCAGCGCATATGACGTTCATTTTCATTGTTGATGGCTCCGAGACCGAACCGTCTAGGTGGGCAGGTAGGATGCTTGCGAAGCTCGTCGATGATTTGTCGGAAATTCGCGCACGACTGTTGCAGTTGTTGTTCGGAAATTCGCGCACGACTGTTGCAGTTGTTTGTATCTCTCGTTCAACTTGTTGCCTCATGCTTGCATTCTCTCGCCTCACGCGCTCTCCAAGATCATCATGTGGCTGCTGCTCGACTTCAACTTCGTCTGCCTCTTCGAATCCTTCTACTTCTTCGAGAAATTCGGCGCTGTCCTGGATGGCGTTTCTTTCGTGATCTTCCATGCGGATGCCCTCCGGCGTGGGCTCACGATGATGCTGTTCTTGCTCCGACGAAACAGGTCTTCCTTCAGAATAAGTACCGCTTCTCATATCTTCCATGTGGACGTCAATGATGGGTTTCTGCATTTCACTTTGTTTCATGGCTAGCAATGCTGTGTCTAATGTCGCTTGTAGATTAGCTACGGCTGCGTTCATGTGTTGTTGAAACTTCAAGGTGTTCTGTTCTCCTTCATCGTGATAGATCTATCATTGACGTCTATCACGGATGAAGGAGAACAGAACACCTTGAAGTTTCAACAACACATGAACGCAGCCGTAGCTAATCTACAAGCGACATTAGGCACAGCATTGCTAGCCATGAAACAAAGTGAAATGAAGAAACCCATCATTGACGTCCACATGAGGAGCGGTACTTTTTCTGAAGGGAGATCTGTTTCGTCGGAGCAAGAACTGCATCATCGTGAGTCCACGCCGGAGGGATCCGCATAGAAGA